AAGTCTACTATTTTATTTCTAATGACCTTTAGTCTAATTTGTCACTAGGTGAACTTTGACCCTACCAAGCTGTATCACAAGATCCTATCTGAGGTGGTCTCTAAGACAAAATATGACCCTACTAAATTCCAGTCTATTCAGTTGTGTTACATCATTAAAGAGACTATCATATCCAGAGTGTTTTTCAAATGTATACAGTGTGTGTTACAATTCTATTCTTTTCCCTTCTATTACTCATCATTTCATCGGATTCTATGACATTCTATTGTACAATTCTCTTTCTCTTTTCTTATAGGCTATTTTATTCTAACTCCACTTCAAATACCTTATTTAAACTGTCGTCTCTACTCTTATATCTTTAACTTGACCTATGCAGACCAGGGCCTGCAATCTACTTCTTTCTCAAACAACTCGGTATAAGGATACCATTCAACTTTGACTTTTGATTTATAAAGATGTCTTGTGACGCCGAGCATAACAGTGTGAAACATTTGGAAGGGGTACTAAAGTTCCAGAGCAGCCTCAGAGAAGTAACCCAACCTGCTCTGTTCAAGACTTTGCCCCTCCACAGTCTGAAACTCCTCTACCTCCACTATCTCCACTTCCTTCCATCCCAGATCCTTCTAACTCCACTTTCTATACTTGCTCATTTTGTAATAAATGCTCAGCTCTACCTCTTTCTGAGCACTGTGTCTTGCTTCTGGATGTTAAAAGATGCACTGATGTCCAGGACTTGTTTGGATAATTGGTTACCTGTGCCCCTCATGATGACCATCTTCCACTTAATGTAAGTGAATATTCTCATATTATATTTGTATTAATTTTTTATCCAAAGCTCAAGCAGGATCAAGCAGATAACCCTCACTATGTATACCCTCACAATTATTTGCATCTGCAATGGATGTCATTCCATTTTGAAGTATATGTCCATTGCCAGTGTAACATTGTACAAATGATTGATGTTGAGACTAGTAAATGTGTAAGTTATTTATTAATCTTTTCTTTTGAATAATTCTTAGTTGCATATAGGTCGGAGGTGTTATCTTTAATGCTTTCAATGATATGACCCTTCAAGAGATGCATGACAATCACAAGGCTGTTGTACACAATCCTAGTGTGCAATGAGGTGAGGTTTTCCAAAGATAGGCTTACACAGGTAAAATGGTGCCTATTGGATCATGATTGGCCAAGAGTGGTCATTGTAGTGATGGGTATACCACATACCCCCTTCTCCGTGGTGACTCTGAAGACCATATTCATGCTATATTTTGTCATACATGTGCATGTGATTTTTCTTTTTGTTGTCTTTAGATACTTACTGTTGTTTAGGATGCTAATGCATTTCTTCAAAGTGTGAAGTATTCTGCTCCTCATGTAGCCAAGGACATCAAAGAGAAGAGTGCAGCTGCTGAAATGAATCATCTTGGTACCAGTGGTGCCAATATTTTCTATTGTTCCAACTACCTTAGCCCTCAGCACATTGATTGTGATGCTTCCTGGTCCATCTGTTCTCAATTGGACAAGGCAGGGACTACTGATGAGTGGAACTTTTGTTACACTGAATGGGATGCATACATTCAGACTTAAGCAAATACAGTTTGGTGAGTATTATATTTATGTATCTGATCTATACTGAATTACCATAGGTGGTTCAATTCTAGCCACCTCATGGCACCATGGCACCAGCTGCCTCGGTTATTCAGCATGCAAAATATCTTTGTAGAGGTGCTTTATCTACAGGGGGCCATCTTACTGTAAGGGAAAGGGATAGGCAAAGGGCCCATGCAATTGCAGACATGCACAGGTGAGTTGTACAAAGGGGGCAGTGGTGGGAGATATTGTTGTATAGAAATATCACTCTGGGGAGCCTCTGGAGTTCATATGATATTTTTTTCATTCCCAATTCTTCCAAATCATTTTGTTTCTGTTTTCTCTGTTTCATGAATGGGACCTCAGTGATTCAGACAAAAACAATGGCATGCATTGAACAGTACTGTAGATACAAAGGCAAGAATGACATCAACAAGAACATTGAGGACAAGAACAACTATAAGAAGCTCAATATTTAGTTACATGACAATATATAGTATGCATAGTGATGATGGAAGTTGGGGTCATGTGACCAAGGTTAGCCTCAAGAATGCAGTCATGATTCACAATCATGATATTGGACCAGACCCAACAGTCTGATGGTTAACCACTACACTTTTTCTTGGGTGGCAACTTTTTCTAAGCATGATTTTTTTTTCCAGTGTGACTTGTTTTTTTTGGAGTAACTTTTTTCAGAGTGAGACTTTTTTGTTCTGGGTGTGACTATTTTTTTGTAACTACCCTGCTTTCTATGAAAAATCTTCAATTTTGTTATTGTCTAGTGTAGTTACCCATATGAATCTTGTATGGGGTGAAATGTGAGCAAAATTTTGAAGTTGAAACACATTAAATTTACCTGTTTGGAAGGGATTTTACCCCATGCAAGATTTGAATCAAAATGATCAAACATTTTTCTTCAAATCTTGCTGTTGGTCATTGCGATTTGCATATATAATGACACATACAAAAAAAAATTCTGAAGGCTTCATGTAGCATGAGACTATTGTGTGAACCTATGCACATTGTTCCATCAAACACTTGAGCTAAGTTTGAACATCTCACCATGGTCAACAGACATATCAGTGATGATCTGAAGAGGGTTGCCATATGCCTTAGAGATTGTGGACATGACTCTGATGATGAGATCTGTCGTATTACTGCTATCTCACTCTCTACCTCTTCATCATATACCAGACTGCCAATACCTCATCCAACTAGCACATCATAAACCCACCCTCTTCCTGCACTAAGTACAATTATCACCTGCTGAATATTGTCACTTTCCCACATCACTTGCAACCATTCAATGCACTCTGACATGTGCAGGACTGAATGTCAAGCATGTTCAGAAACTTGCATCCAAATGGAATCTCCTTAAGCTGTGCAGCATTCATCCATTGCATCAGTCAATATCCAGCACACTATTTGATCACTCTTGATGAAGTTTCAAAGGACAACAGGACATATGCACACATGTGGGGTTGGGCTCATCGTGGTGAGTGTGTGGAGAAGCACTACCCATTTGTTCAGAAGGAATTATTCTCAGTGCTTGGGGCTATGGCATTGGACGAGGGCTTTATTCACATGTGAACTTTTTTTTTATAGTTTTTGTGTGATGATTTGGTGAGTTGTGACCTACTCCAAGTCATGACAAGCTAAATGTGCTTTGAGCTTCCCTGCATGAACCCTTATCCTGCACCTCACAGTGTCATTGTCCTCAATAATGCTACTATTCACCACACCCAAGAAGTGGTTGACCTAATTGAAGGTTATGGTATGCAGTTTCAATTTTTATGTGGCTCCTTTGATACTAGGCTCAGGCTGACTCATTTGAAGAGTGTCATGTTGAGTATCTCCCACCTTATTCTCCTGACTTCAACCCTATCAAGCAAGCATGGTCGGTGATCAAAAATCACCTTTGTCACAATGGATTGTCTCATGGATCTAAGGTGAAGCAGTACTATGAATTGTACAGTGTGTGAAGTGATCACTCCTGAGATGACTTGGGGTTTTTCATCATTCTGGTTACATTTGAACATGTGTCAGACAATGTAATACATGTGAGCAAGCAATTGAATATCAGTGTGACCCCTTCCAACATTCCTCAGTGTCCCTGTACTGCTACAAGTTCTCTGATTGACAACTACACACTCTGTGCACAGTTGATTATCTGATATCAAGCAAATGAGATGTGGACCTGCAATTTGATGGCTGTCGAGTTTATCATAGACTGAGAGTGGAAGATTGTAAAAATCACAGAAGGCTTGAAGGCTAAGACAAAGTGGGACTTGAGCTGCTGGACAGTAGAAGAAACATCAGGCTGAGGTACTGGAGTTTGGCAAGCTGTACTGAGGAGCTCTGCGAGGCCGGAAAAGTTGACAGTGATATTTGATGATGGTTTAGTGTCTTGTGTGATTTGATTTCTTTAGTTGTTTAGCCAATGTGAGAATGTCATTGTCTTCAGAGGAGCTAGATCCCCTGTGTGCAGGTGGGTCAAACATTTTGCTATTTGAAGTATAGGTCGATGTTGACTCCATCAATTTTCGCTTGCTTCAAAAGGCAACATTAGTAAGAGTGAAAATATGTAAAGGAAATCAAACTATTGCATGATGCCCAATGGTGTAAATGCTGGAATGTAAGATGAACATGGTCATTGACCAACATGCCAGCAGACCAGCATTGATTGTATGGGCAAGCTTTATCTTCACAGTGGTAGTGGTCTTGTAGGTTCTTGATGATCTTATCCTGTTCTTGCTCTTCGACAGTTGGTTCATGGACTTGGGATTGCAATCATTGATTTGTGTTAGCTGTAATCACCAAAATACATAGCATATATCTACCTTTTTGCCTTTTTTGTGGCTCTGTATTGTCATCTGAATCTAGTGCATTCAGAGATTGCTATTCATCATCAGTGGACTGTAGTCGCTATTCAAGATACTACACACTTGTTTCCATGGCCTCTGTGGCTCTGCCTCGTCATTTGATTCATCTGCATCTCGTGAGTTGCTGCTTGATATCTCCCAAATGGTCACCTGCAGCATGTGAGCTATTATCACCAATGTATAAGGAGCAGTGTCTTACCTTGTTCTCAATAAGAACTAATGTACCCTCAGCACTCTTCTTCCTTTGTACTTGCCCAACCATCTCTGCATAATCTTCTTCTCCCTCGAGTATGATATCCTTTGTGCGGGATTTTGGAATTGAGTAGGTAACAGTAAGTGAGTTGGTATCTGAGTTGAGCATTTGGCCCTTATACAGCTTTGAGTGTTGCAAGAGATCATGTCATTTCAGTATATCAAGAACTTTCACAAGCATATCTTTCAGTTCAAAGTCCTCATGAATGTATACAACTTTGTTGATCACCTTCAGTTTCGCATTTTTGCATCATTTTGATGTGCCTGTCATGTCTTGAAGGGGAATAAATTCAATGTTGAACTGTAAGCCTTTGCCATCATTGAATCCACTTATGCCCCCTGCAGAGTTAAGTAGTACCATTAGTACACTAGTGTAGACAGAACAAACTTGCAACCATCATTGACATTGTCAATGTCCTCCAGGGCTGACGGTGGATCATTATCAAGTGCTGGCATAGTGCTACCATTATGCTTTGATGTAGCAGTACGAATGAGGTCAGGACATATTACTGCTTACCATATAGTGCTACACAGTAATAGGCCTAACATTAGTGCAATTTTGTTTTTGATAAATGTCATTATATTTGCAAATAGCTATACAGTGATCAACCAGTCCTTTGTACACCACTGGTCCTCTATGCAATCATTATTCCTCACTCAATTCTGTGTCAATGTGCCAAAAAAATGGGCACATCATACTCTATTGTTATCACTCTGTAAGCTACACTAATTTTTGTGTTATTTCAAAGAGTGAAAAATGTAGGAAGGGGGTGATAGTGGCCAAGAATCATGGATATGAAATGATTTAGCCTTAAAATAGGTGTAACATCACCCAGTTTTCTCCAATCCTTATGTCTGCAATGAAATAAAGTGTTGGAAATATGATGCTGAAAACAGATAGTGCCCATTCATTGTGGATTGTGAGTTATCTTGTTTTTTTTCAAAGTTATCCTGACATAAGGGCAGTGTGACAATGGTGACATAGTGTGATATATAATCCAAATATAGTAACAGGGTGTGTACAAATGAGCCAGGAATGTGTGAAAGTACAGTGCCAGTTGTACAGACCAATGCTCACCAACCACTCGACCAAAAAAAGCAAAAAATTCAATCAGCCAATGATGAGACCATATACTTTAAAATGTACCAGACAGATTAGTGGTTCTCAAAGTTAACTTCATAGAAATTTTCAAAGGTAAAAATTTTGTGACTTGCCAGTAATTGAAGCTCCGATGCTGACAAATCAGCCCCATACCTTGTACTATGACCGTCATCATATCTATAGTGTTCTGCAACTACATCTATGCCTTAAGAATCAGATTGAAAAAAACTACTTTGTACCCCCAAACAAATGACCAATGACCTTACCATTGTGCAATACATGGAGTTTGTTGAGTTTATGATTGATCAGCTACTAGATAATGACTCTGATGAAGACTCTGATAAGGAATCAGAGATCAGTGCTCATAGCAGCTCAGATATCAGTATATGGACTGCATTGCCAACATGGCCAGACTCCCCAGTGTCCCCTACATCGTCCATCACATCTGCCTTTTCGATCAGCTCTCTGTCATCGCTCTTGACAGCATACTCTGATGTTCTGTTGAGTGGTATCCCAGACATGTGTGATCGGGTCTTTATGCAGTTTGTTGATGTAATTGGGGCACTGCATGATGAGGTGGAGAAGTGTTGGGTGCTTAATGTCCGTCTGTCTCTGAGCTGTGCACCCCAGCTACACTTGCTGCAAGAGTGGGCACTATTATTGCCTCAAAAGTTTCGCTGCAAGCTCTGTGTTGATGCAGATGTGTTTGATGAAGTTATGACATTAATTCAACCACACCCTATCTTCTATAACAAATTGAATAACCCACAACTCCCTGTCACAGTCCAGCTTGCCATTTTTCTCAATGGCATTGACCATTATGACAATGCCGCAACTACTGAAGATATATCCGACTGGGTGGGAGTGTCTGTGGGGACCATCTACAACTGCTACAAACAGGTGATGATCGTGATATTGCAATTGCACGATCAGGCCATTAATTTTGATCCGCTCGACCATGAGGATCAGATCAAGTGAGAGTGGGCAAAAGCTTATGTGGAAAAAAAGATGTGTTGTGAATGGCATGGCAGTTTTCTTTGTGTAGATGGGACTCTGTCCCCCTTACATAAGAAGCCTGTTTGGCACAGGGAAGGTTTCTTCAACAAGAACTCTGACTACTCTCTGACAGCCCAGGTAAGTATTGGCTCAGTGTGCGGCGCAGTGACTTATAATTAAAAAGGTCATTATATTGCCTCACAACCTCCATATCAGGGACTACACCATCAGTGTACCTGGGAGTCTTCATAACTCAAACATATTTGCATGAACAAGGGTCTCCTGGCATCCCAAGTCCTTTTTTCATGCAGGAGAGTGGTTATGGGCGGACTCAGCATATGTTGCACAAACCTGGTGTGTACCACCATATAAACGGCCACCAGGAGGGAGTTTGATGGCAGAACAAAAGATGTTCAACTATAACCTGTCAACAGTGAGCATTAATATTAAATAATATATTTTCATAGTCCTTACACAGTGTCTAGGTCCATGTTCATTCAGAGCATTTTTTTGGCTCTATCAAGGGCTGGTTCCAATCACTGCAGGAGCTTTACATCCCAATCTAAAGCCAGAAGGACCTCAACTATGCAGACATATGGATCTGTTTGTACTTCATTCTGCATATGTTAATTGTTGAAATCGAGAAAAAATCAAACCATGAAGACTCAAATGCATGCTTCTATCAGCAAACTCGGAGGTTGAGGTGAGCTGATGGTGACACAGGAGAGGATCAGCAAGAGGGTAGTGCAGTAGGTGATCAGACCTACATTAGAACTGCAGGGCAGGATTTTCGCAACGCGTTAAAGATGCAGTTGCTTGCCTTGTTGGAGTAAGCTCTTATCCCAAACCTGTAGTGTTTGTTGTGTGTAGTCATGCTTGAAATTTTCTCAAGAAAGGAGTGTTTTCATGAGCTCCAGGTTGTGTGTAGTCATGCTTGAGATTTTCTCAAGAAAGGAGTGTTTTCGTGAGTTCCAGACCCTGAGTGAACTCATTCTGCAACCGCCTCTGAGTTGGCACCATTGAGTACAAAATGGTATGCATTTCCCAAAAACCTGTTGCATGATGATGTAGTACAGACCTACTTCAGTTTTGATCACCACCACACTCCATGGCAATACAACAAATTTGAGCCTCCTCCTCCTCTTGACATGCATGCAATAGCTCAATCTCGAATTCTTGCAAACTCAATTTGTTGCATCATTGTCTCCTGCCGGTGGAGATGATCTTGTTCAGCAAGATGCATTGCATATTCCTGCTGCTCATCACTGAGCACTGTGGGCCTTGAGATCACGAGCCCAAATGTCACTCTCCAGTTTCACATGCCTACAGTGTTCATGCTCGACACGACCCTCACATTTACCATCAAGGTGCATCATTAGGGAATCTGCTGTCTGAGACATCCTTTCTGCAGCAGCAGAGGTCTGATCGAGAGCACTGCCACCAGGGCATTTGTGTGATGAAGAGGGGGGGGGGGGCACTAGATTGAGGTGAAGCACTCCGAGTAGGTGCACAAGATTGTTTTGTAGCAAGAGAAGGCAAACTTTCATGACTTCCTTTAAGTGAGCTGACATGAAGAGACTGCAGTGCTCAGCTAGCACAAATATCTGAGTCTTCCGAGTCAATGGGCATAGACTGAAGGCTAGGTGAAGACTCTTTGAGATCAGAAAAAAAAGATGGTGAATTGTCAGCAGCATTTTGATTGGGTGCTGGCAAGCACTCAGGAGAGTTCAATGATATTGCACCATGTGCATCAGAAGTTGAGATGGGAGGGAGTTGGAGTCATTGGTACCAGCGCAGCAATGGAGCTAGTGAGAATGAGCTAGGTGTGTCGCTAGGACTATGGTCTGAAGGTAACAGCAGTGATGGTGAGGATCATGATTCAAATGATTCCATGTGGGGGGACTGGTCAACCATCATATCATCTGTAGTGCAATTCCTAATCTCAACTATTTCTCCATCTTCAGGATCATCATCTGTGTGAACATTGTCATCACCTGTAGCTGGTGGTTGTGATTGCTTGGGAACATTAAAATGTTCCAATGCAGTGGACGCGAAATCTTGCCCTGCATCTGCAGTAGAGAATGTGTAATTGAAAGCTGGGTTGGTCCGCCACCAGCCATGAAGGTTAGGCCACCAGGGAAATTTTTCAAGCTTTGTATCTGACAGAGACACAATTAAGATGTGCAGATGAACAGTGGCTGAAACTTACCGATCAACAACTTCATCTGCAGATCCTCTTGCAGCTCCACATATGTCTTTCCAGCTCCTGACTGCTTGAGTTCCTTGTTGAACTCATTGTATTTTTTCTTGAGCCTGAAACATCTGATCAGTGATTCTAGTGGAAGGATGGATGATGCAGGAACTAGAGACTTAGGCCCAGCTCAGCAACTGAGTCCAGTTCAATTTTTGCTGGTCACCCGCCAAAATCACGTCGGATCGAACCAACACATTTTTTCCATCAAAATGTCTAATTGAACTCAACCAGCGTGTGTGCTCAACAAAAAAGTTTGATTTTGATGGGTTAGATCAATCTATGGGTATCTACTTGTAGCACTAATATGGGTTTTTGTCTCTGGCAATCCAATTCTTCCATCTTGTCCCTCCCTTTCTGACTGATTCAGATGTCACCCGAAAATGAACAATCTCAGGCTGGCCCTATTGCTGAGTCCACTGCTGTGACTGACAAAGGCATGAAGACCAAACCGAAAGCACTGAGTGCGAGCATGAAGACAGTTTGGAAGTCCAGTGATGATGCTGTGTTGATAGCAACACTTCTGAAGGAACGGGAGGAGGGTCATCAATCTGACTCAGGATTCAAACTGAAGTCATTTGTTGCTTGCACGGAAGCACTCAAAGGGAGTGAGAAGACAAGTGGAGGTGTTGCAAAGACATCTGGCTCATGTCATGATCGTTGGGGAAAGGCATGTCTTGTATTCTATTTGTGATACATTCTAACTGTGCTCTCAGCTCAAAAAAGACTTCGCTGTTATTAAAAAACTCCAATCTGGATTTGGCTGGGACAACACTTTGAAGATTGTAACTGCCCCACCAGACGTCTGGGAGAAATATCTCGCGGTAAGTGGATCTCATCAGATCTGCATGACTCAGAGGTACTGACCATAATGCCTTGACAGACACACACAAAAGCAAAAGTCTGGAGGAAGAAATCTTTTCCGCTCTACGACAGCATCCAGATTCTCATTGAGGGGATTATTGCAACTGGCGAAAATGTCTTTCATGTGGGCATGACTACCACGACCGAAATTGTTGACACCACCCTCCCATTCAACTATCCTGCTGATTCAGGTGAAGAACATGAATTGTTGGATGACAAAAATGATGAGGTATGTTTTTTTTATTTAAATACATGATCTATTGGCTCACGGCTATCTACCAGGATGTCAATGACTCACAGACACCCATCAAACCCAACAATCGGAAATGTTCGGCTGAAATGACACCATTTTGTAGTAGCTGCAAGTGCCAGTCAACCAGCTGTGCCATCCATCGTTCTTTGAGTGGTCATGGCTCAGGTACTGATGCCATGTTTTTGGTTGCCGGAGCTATTGAGACACTCGCTGATAAATTTGACGTGTCTGGTGGGCTCACTTCTCCAGAACGTCATAGTGCTGCCATCCACTGTCTCAAAGATGATACTGAGTTGTCCAAAACTGAGCAGGTGGCAGCTGTTCAGTTGTTCTCTCATCAGACTGCAATTGCAGATTCATACCTTGCAATCAAGAAAAAGTCAACTCGCACTTGTTACATTCAGTCAGAGTTAGCTGAATTTAGTCTAGGATAGTACACTCCATGTATTTAAAATGTACTGATAACTATCCCACATAGCTTTGGCAATAGCATCCCTAAGCTCAGAAGCCTGAACTTGTTCTGCAGATGAGATATCACCTCCAAGACCCTCAAACCCATCTATCACTGCCCCGATAATATCACCATGGGGAGTTTCACGTGCCTCCAGGAGGTCATTGTTGTTGTAAATACGGATGAAATTGTGTAGTACACAGATAGCAGGGACCATTTTTGCCTGTGTTGTGAGATCATACTCAGGAGAAACCACAAGAAGCCAAAAACACCTTTTGACCACTCTGAAAATCTGTTCAATGACATTACAGGCTTGTGCGTGACGCAAATTGAAAAGTTCACAATAGTTTTTGGGCCTAGACGAGTCATGAGAAAATAATAGCACGATGGCAGAAATGAAATACTGTAAACCAATCCTACCCCACTCGTTTAGATGGTATCGTTCTCCACGGTATGGGATCATGAGCCCATTGCAAATTGGAAAGCCTGCATCAGCGAAAAAATATTTACCAGGAGGGATAGTCAGGTTACTTTGTTGAGCATCCTCATAGATGTGTCCATCAGCAGCACTACCCTCCCAACCACTGAGAATATATGTAAACCGCAGATCTTGTGAGCATGCAGCAAACACATTCTGTGAGAGACGACCTTTTCGGTTGCCGTAACGTGCCACAGCATCATCAGGAACAAAAGCATCCAAATGAGTCCCATCAATTGATCCTTGGCAGTCTTGGAAGAATGGATAAAATTTTGGGTTGTCCTCAATCTTGGGTGCGAGTGGGGTGGTCACATCAGGAAGTCATACATAGGCATTATAGAAAGCATCAGGCGTGAGGAGGTCGAGAATGCAATGGATGGCTCTGATAAGTAGAAGTCAAATTCTAAACTCGTCAATAATTAATATGGTGGCACACTTTGTGAGAGTACTCAGACTGCGCTGAAATTGTTCTTCAAGATGATGCTGGGGTAGGCCAGATACAGGAATATTCTGAGCTGCTCTTCAGCCGAAACATGTCTTGTGTCATGAAGGCCATGGTTGATTAGCTCATGGAGAAGGGCCTGGAATACATGTTTATTCATTCCCATTGCATCGTAAAAATGCTGAGGATGGCCAGCCAGAAGCTCATTCAACCATTGTTGGCCAGTGAGCTTGGAAGTATTTTTGGGAGTTTTGTCATAGCGAGCAGCATAATGATGTTGAGTAATGGAAGCAGCAGCAAGTGCGATAGCGATGACAGCTGCCCATTTTTTCTTCTTTTTCAAGCGTGCAAAGTGCTTTCGAGTAGTGTTGATTACCATCAGCAAGTACAGTAGGGTACACTAGAAAGAAACTCGCTGCCCAGTTTGGGCCATTTCGCTGGTCTAATTTAGCCAACCATCAATTGAACCTGACCAGCAAAAATTGAACCTGACCAGCAAAAATTGAACTGGACTCAGTTGCCGAGCTGGGCCTTACGTGCCAAAACGGGTTGAAACTGGTTCAATAAATGCCTTTGGGTCCTTCTTGAAAAGTTGTTGCACCTGTTACGCTGATGGTAATCAGAGGAGGTTTCAAGTCAATCAATCTACTAGAGGTGGCACTCTAGAGAAGTCAAAGGAATCAAGGATGGATTCACTAGTGTCTAACTAGTAGTCTGAGGATGTATCTGGTAATTTCAGTGTAGGTCAAGATGAGGAATCATCAAGACTACAACCTGCTTATATATGATAGTAAGTCAGGGTCCAGGGTCTAGGGTAAGTAAGTAATATGTCCATATAAGTATAGATAAGTGTCCATGGGAATACACATGGTGTATGCATGTTAAGGGTCTGTGAGAATACACTAGGTATCAGTATGTAAGTAATATCTGAGGACTTGCTGAGGATAGATCGAGATTGATCATGGATCAATGAATAAAAGTGTGCACTTGCAATAAGGTGAAGTCAGAGAGTAACCCTAGATAGGGTGATATCAGGAAAGGGTGACACAGTGACATGGTGTCAATGTGAAGAAGCAAAGATGTAAAAGGGTGAAGAGGAAAATGAAAGGTATCACAGACAATCGTAACAGCACCTCCAGATCCTTGTCATTCGAAAATACAGCTTGTGTGGCCTGTGAATAGAAGATATCTCTTGAAGTTCCACTCTGCTTCTTCTTCCGACCTTGCTCCTTGGCATCCTTTGCAGAATCAGAGAAAAGCTTGATGCATGCGTCTTCATTTTCCTTGCACCAGGCAAGTAGATGTTCAGTACAAGCACTACAGACCCCCTCCCAATGAATAGTACACTTCCTCCCAGTGTCCGTGCCAGCAGGTGTGCTGACAGGTGTGCTGACCTGAACTCCACCACCTCAAGCATTCTGATTGGAGTGTGACATTGTCTAGGGTGTTTCTTATGACAGCAATTAAGGATCAGATTGATGCTTTGGCAGTGTCAATGCCAGTAACAACAATATCAAGCACGCTGGTAAGGCAGGGCAGGGCAGAGTTCAAAACCTGCCATACCAGCAGCATCCAATTTTGCAAAATTTTGCTGTGAATTTTTTTCTAGGTTCGACTTTGAGAACCACTATTATATCATACTTGAACAGTTGAGTCAAAATTTAAGATTTTCCAATTTGGTGTACAATGGTCCGGTTGATCACTGTAAATGACTTTCTTTTACAGTGTCAAAATGGTGCATAAAATGTACATTTTCGCCCAGGATTTTGCCACTCATCTAAATTTCTTATTTTTATCATGTCCAAATGTATAGTGAAAATGCCAAATTCATCAATAACATTTTGAAACAAATCTTGCATAGCAAAAAACTCCCAAACCACCGGTGTGGCATGATTCAAAGGAGACGCTCCGACTCCAAAAACCGATCGAAAGGACGAAGGAAGAGCATCCGATCCCGATCAGACTCTGGCCACGTTTCGCAAGTTTGTATATGGCGATTCGCCGATCAACCGCGACACACGTTGCGTGACGGTACTCCTAAGTCTGCATTCGGAATCTTCCGGAAACATTATAAGTCCGGCGCTGCCACCACTATCAGTTCTCGCTAAGCGCTACTGTAACAGATTAATATTGATGGTCAGTGACGTCTCCATCCCCTGCTGCAGAGCCTGAGACGACCTCCTAGGCAACTGAAACGTTTACACAAACACCCGATCATGTTCCAACGCACACAGCGGCCACACAACCCAATACCAACAGCCTGCCAGCTGAGACCATCGGCTTTGCCAACAGAATGTTCGATGCTGCGCGGGAGGGCAACACAGAGCTCCTTCTCCAAGCAGTCGACGCGGGCCTGCCAGTAAACCTCACAAACGACAAAGGTGCATGCGTCCATGTTTTGTGTCCCCGAATGACGTACGATGCATTCATGTAGGAAATACGCTATTGATGCTCGCAGCATACGCAGGTCACGCAGATCTAACCAAAGGACTTCTGCAACGCCAAGCAGATCCAAACAGGCTCAACGATCTGGGTCAATCTATGATCGCGGGCGCTGTGTTTAAGTCTCACGATGAGGTCGTGCGTATTCTGGTCGAAGCTGGTGCAGATCCGAGAATAGGTAAACCCACCGCAATAGAAGCGGCTCATATATTCGGTCGGAAGGAGTTGATGGAGGTGCTGGGTGCAAAGCAGGGTGACGTCGGTGCTGATGTGCCTACCCCCCCTAGTGCACGTCCTGAGAAGTGATCGCGTGAAGAAAATTTGAACGATATGTATCATAGATAAGCTGTGCCCATGTAAGTCGTTGCATCCGTTACTAGAACCCATGACCTTCAAAGGACGTCCACCCCTCCCCCCCTTTCTTTAACTGTCCTGTCGATGTAGTACGTTAGGCCAAAGTAAAGAGCCACTTTGCAATATGTGGCATGAATGCCGAGACAACGCGAATCTAGGAAGGGTAAGCCAGGATCAGGTGTGTTGAGCGTCACGATACGGCGAACATCATGTGGGAGGATGGCACGGTATGTGGCACAAACCCGATGTGTCTGGAGTGGCTTGGGAATAAGTAATACATATCTATCAGTTGTCCGCACCCGCCGTATTTGAATCATGGAACGTACTGTGAAGGGTATTGAAAAAATATTTGCGAGCTCACCTCTATAATCAATAGATTTTTGAGGTCATGGATGCTAGAACCATTCAGTTCTTTAAGGTTTAAACCTGCGAAAAACTCTAATACAGACGCGGCGCGTTGAATTTGGATGGAGGATTGAGCGGATGTAAGCTGGAAAAAAGACTTCATACCCTATCCCCTTCAAGCCCTTCATGTGTAAAGAACCGGATAATGCGAGCCACTCGAGCGGAGCATATGCCAAATTCCTTGCTTCTGTCTAGATACTTGGGGGTGCTGCGGAAGTCGTAGCGACCAGTGAGGATCCAACGATAATCATCACGAACAAGGTGAAGCGCACTCACTTGAGCGTTTGCGGAGCTCCGAACACTAGGGATCCCTTGCGAAAGAGCATCGTCCTCAGTGTAGTCGAATGACAGCGTCAAATCTTCAGAATCCTCGGAACCTTGGGAATCCTCAGAATCCCCGGGACAACCGACTGCAAGTGCCTGATTGAAATGGGTTACAGGCTGGATGACAAGATGAGGCGCACTCACTTGAGCATTTGTGGAGCTCCAAGTACTAGGGATCCCTTGCGAAAGAGCATCGTCCTCAGGACGGTCTAATGACGGCGTCCAATCTTGAGAATCTTAAGAACCCTCGGAATCTTCGGAATCCTCAGAGTCTTTGGGATAACGGACTGCAAGTTAGACATGTCAGGACATGCACACCGATGTACCCACTGTAACAGTCACACAAATCCAAGAACTGTTGGAAGTATAACAGCCCAGGCTCGGAAAGTTCACGGTCATCCAGACACTTATGAATTGCCTTGGTGACATTGGTACGACCAGTGGGACTTGGGGCATGTATTGACATGTAACCCAGTAGTCAAGCACATGTGAGAGACCGTAGGTCAAACATGCGGGCCTCCAAACTGAGGCATCGGTTATATGCCTCGAGCAAGGATTTGGTTGACGTGCCAGGGAAATTGGTCAGAAGAGTAGTCATGGCGGTAATGAATTGGCACTAGTCTGCGAGAAACGCTGTACGCCCCTAAACTTGAGGTGCCGCAGCCACCTGTGTTGTGGGTGATGCGCAAGTATGCAGTGTACTGCAATTCTTATGTAGTAACTGAGCGGCTTGATACCATACTTACGTGTTCACTGCAGGATTGTATCAAACCTTGTCTAAGTCGCACGATCAGGTTCAGCATATTCTGGCAGAAGCTGGCGTAGGAATAGTTAAACCAACTGCAATACAGGCAGCTCATACCTTTAGTCGGACGCAGTTGACGTATCATAGATAGCCCGTGCATTCAAGTCGCTCGTGGCAGGTCCAAAGATATTAGGTATGAAAATAAAATAACTGTTGCAAAGCATAGGAAAACATACATTGCTAAATCGCGCCCATCTCCTTCCCGAGAACTTTCAACGCCTCCCTCGCCAGTGTCCTTGCATTCACCTCCATTGCATCACCACCCTTCTCCAGAGCACCGATACGAGGCTGCACAGAATGCCCTCTCCTCTCCTGGTCGGTCTCGGGTGGCGAGGAATTGGTGATCACCCATGCCGATGGTGTCTTCCGAGGGATGGAGGCAATCTCACACAATACCGAATAGAAATAGAAGAGATGAGCGACTGGCGACCGTCTCACCACATCAGCGATTAGCATAGATGGAGAAAGAGTGACATCAACAGCTGGCAAGACGGTTAGCGTCAAATCGGATGGTAGAGGAAGAAGTAAGCACCAGGTTGAGAATTGCTAAACTTCGATGGAGACTCTGATAGTGCGGCCCATAAAGTTCCAGGCCAGAGCTGTAACTCCAGGAGCTTGCGAAGTACATACAGTAGTTCATCTTCACGAGCCCTATTAAAGTTGGTTCAGCAGTGCAAAAGAACGCCACACGATCACAATTCACCTCGGGAAAGGCATGTTACCCCGGAGAGACTCGTCCGCGACATAGCTCGTCATTCGCAGTTTTGCATCGATCGAGCAAGGTCGGCAGACAAAGTGCAGCAACTCTCTTCCTCGAGGACACTTGATCTAGGAGAATAGTTAGGTCTGAAAAGGGGTGCAGAGGGACGAGGTTACCGCTTGTGACATTAGAGCAAATCAAGAATAAAAGATCGAAACACCAGAATGAGAATCGCTCCCTTCGGAACCAGGACGCCAGGTGCAGTTGTTCCGATGTCCAGTTCCACCTTCTCGAAGTCGTGTGAGTCCCGAGAGTCATCTGACGCTTTCGCAGTATCTCTCGGGGGCGAACCAGGGCATGAAATATCTATACCCGACTCGTACAGCTGGCTGGCCTGGTGCAAAATCTTCGCTAGTTGTGTGATGAGGTAATCGGGAACTCTCGCGTCTCCCAGATGCGGCACGAGATCGATCTCCAATGAGCTAATGAGAGAGAGATCGAAGTTTTCTTCTGTTTCCTGATCTTCGAGGGAGAGACTCTCCGTCGCAGTGCTGTGAACAAGTTGGATCATTTGGTAAGAAAAGGCGTCAGAATGACAGAATGACAGAATGCGCACCAGTCAGCTAAAATGCCTCCCCGGAAGACTTCAATGATTTGTCGCCATACACCTTCAACTCGTGTATCAGAAATACCTGCGTTTTGTCACTAGATAAAATCAACCAAATCACTGACTACGTACGATCGCCAAAGGCTGCCATTCTTCTGACCGAGTCCGTAACTATGCGGAGAAAGCTCGTTGTCGCGGTCTTCCACAGAGGAGGGTCTTTGCCGAACTTTGATGGAGCAGGACACTCGTACTTTAGCTTTATCGGTATCGAATAGGCCTAAACACGAAAACAAATGAGCATTAATACCAAGGACATGGACGACACGCACCGAGAAGACAGCTTCCAAAGTCCCATCCTCATAGATTTCAAGCTCATCCTTGAAGCGCATGTACAACTCGACGATCAGCGGCATGACCTTCTTAGACAGCGCGATGTACGTGACTTGTTTTTGAGATGAAGTCGCCACCGGCGTGGCTGGGGAGGCAGGAGAAAGGATGGGCACATGGAAAGCAGCGAGAAAAGGAAGTGTGGTGAATTCCGAGAGATCCCGTATGATGAGAGACGGAACTCCAGATGCTGCCAAGTTGATATCCGCAATGGCGTCCAAGACAACTACCTGTGAGGTCAATTAGACGCTGGTCTGCAGTTAATGCAGACCATTTACTTACCTGAACGGGAGTCAAACCGTCAACGTCCGGGCGGTAGTCCATCGAGTTAGGATAAGTAAGAACACCTGTGTATAATTCAACAAAACAAACGACGACATAAAGGTAGAGACGTACCCTTAAGGATTTCCATGAGACGATTGAGGCGTTGAAGCGGCCATTCCTCCTTCGTCTGGGACAGACTAATCAAGCGTGTGCTCCTTATGACATCAACGAGAGCAACCAAACTCTCCTGAGTAAACGCGCGGTAGAGCTGCGTCGTATTCGTACTTGGAGAGAACTGAGATTTTCCGCCCTGGAGAACCATGCTCCCCATGTCACTGCATGCCTTCCATACGCATTCCCAAGCCTCCGATACTTTGACCTGCAGAGAGGCTTCCGCGCTAGAAAGTGCTTTCACCACCTTCCCTAAACAAAGCAGTGCGGGCGGACTCAGGTTTCTGCGATCCAAGGATACGGTATCGTGAACGTGGGTCACAAACACGGACCATGCCTTGGAGAAAGAATCCAGATGCATGATCTTGCTGACTAGGAAGTCGCTGATAATAGACCCAATTGACTGCAGCGCAAGACTCTTTCGATTCGTCCCATGCATGCTCAGGGGTCTGCGTGGCGAGGCCAGAGTTCAGCAAGACTCCTGGATCAGAAGCGCCGCGCCGAGTTTCGATAGATATTGCGTCGAGTAGCGGGAATGTGATCTTCCATATACAATCATTCCAAGTATCCAGAGTAAGCGTGGCGCCGTAAAGCTGCATTGCACGGAAAAGAGTCTGGATGGCGCCAACCCGGACCTCGTGCCTAGCATCGGTACAAAGACCCAGCACTTCCAATAGCAGACACATCCACAACGTGCTATATTCTGGTTCCATCTCTGCATCCTTCCGCTTTGCCTGGATGGAGTCCGACACGCTCCATAGCAGGACTTTCTGCGGCAGTAAGAGCAATGTTCGTGTCTGCTTGTCGGCCGAATTGTCCGAGGGTTTTGATGCAAAGCCGCAAGTCTTCAGGGGATAGCACAGACACGGAGTCACAGACAAGTTTGAGCGACTGGAATGCAATCTTCACCAGCGCTGTGTAGCCGCGATCGTTGACATATCCCAGAGGCAGCGCCTTTGGGCGGGGCGTCTCTTGCAGCGATAGCGTGCTGACCGAATCGACCGACTGAGATATGGGCAAAGCTGCGGGTTTACAGATGCTCCCCAGCATCTCAAAAATGCTTCCCCATCCGACAACGAAAGTGTGTCCAGACGCCTGTAGAATTTGGTGGAGGGTCTCCAAACCCATTCGCCGAAGCTCAATATTCGTACTCGTCGCTGGGACGTCGGATGATGCGGGTACTATCTGCTTGAATAGAACGTCGAGAACGCGACGCTGGACTTTGGCCTGGAGATCTCCAGTGGATGATAAATTGCGCGGGACCACGATAAGAATTTCGTCGAGGACGCGTGCTGCTTGTACTCGTATTGACTGCGGCGCTGAGGAGAGTCCCATAACCCAAGAAGATGGTTTGTAGTCGTATTCCATGCGACCTCAGGTGCGCGATAGATCAGGCGATGAATGTTAAGCATCGCTACTGAACCCAGTCTCTCAACGCCGAAGTCACCCTGGCGCTGAAAAGATGTTAGATGTCGTTATGACATACGAGGATCAACCCTGACTTACCAGTGTCCGCGGCAGATGAATACCGCTGACCCGCCTTCTATGAGGAGAAAGCGGTACAGGACTCAACAAATCCTCAGAGTCCAAGAACGTGCCCCTATCAGATTGCATCTCAACCATCTCCGAGCTGAGTTTACAGAGTGCGGTGACGAAGTCCTGGAAAGCTGAATCCTCCAGATTTTTGGATGCATCAAAGAGGCGTTGCACGGCAGCAAGGACACTCTCTGAATCAATGTCCACGAGGAGGGGATGACGAGCAGCCTTCCCCTGTTCAGCAGAGCTCGTCGCTGACACGGATCGGCTTGGTGTCATGGGTGTGCTCATCCGCCGGTTCGTAGATGCTTGCGACGCTTTGACATTCAAAACATAGTCTGCATTCTGTAGAGCCTCTAGAATGCCATACCAACTCTCTCCTAGACTGCCGGCAAGGAAGAGGGCACTAGATACCAACACTTTAAGGCACGCTAGATTGCGCTCTGACAGTCCTGGAGCTTGCATGGGTGCTGTCAATCCCAGATTTTCCGTGAACGAAGTTGATGTTCGCGGCGTAGGAGGTTCGATATAAGATTCCAAGCTGGACACTACTCGCGAAGGGATCGCAAACTTCGATAGGGAGTTGAAAAATGCATCGCGAGGAGTGCTGAGGGCAAGCATTCCTGCGACGTTCGTCAGAGCTTGATAGCTGCTAAGAACATCTATGAAGAGCTCGTCTGAAAGATTCGTCGAGATGATGAAGGAGAGGGCTGCGAGAAGCGCGGGCCAGCCATTCTCAACCATAGAACGCACGATGATGAAGGTGACGAGTTGTAGGATCGTCCTGCGGGAGTGTAGAGACGTCAAGAGCGGCAGGGGCACGAACCACTGGCTCGCCGGCTGCGCGAGGACGTTGAACCATGATGGACGTGTACAGTGGGCCAGTGAACGACGCGAAACCTTCGCAAAGGGAAACAATACACTGCACAGCGAGAAGATAGATGTATGCTTCGGGGATGGGCGGTGAGTCCGCTTTGTCTAATTGATCGATGCTGTTAGGGAAAGAGGGCTCAGGACAATCCGCAAGAACATAGAATGGGAACCGTACCACTGGAGCTTCATGGCCGAGTTCTGCACGCTCAGACCAACGCCAGATCCGATTATTCCCGACGACTCCAGACACGGTAGCACTGGCAGCCGTAGCAACCATCCCAGCGACCCCACCGACATCCAGACCGTAATTGCTGGACGCTGTAGCACTATCAGCCGCATGAGAAATTCCAACTCCCATCATCTGCGCGCTCACTCCAAGTAGAGCAGGTTTCTCTGTAACGAGGCGTTTTAATGCAACAATCAGAGAGCTGAAAACGTTTGAGCCCGTTTGTTGTGCATCATAGCGGTCCCATACGTTTCGGATGAGCTCAGCATCGCTACATACCCTAAAAAGAGACATCAATGCGAGCTTTGTGGCATCGAACGTCGAGACATACCCTCTCATGATCTCCATTGCGAGAACCCTTGTCCATACCGGACGTGGACCAGAATGGTCGGAATTCGCGGCGTCGGATTCTTCCGAGATCATTCTGATGAGAAGCATCAGGAATACTTCTGCTTCTGTCACCATCTCGAATGAAAACTGCTTGAGGATCAAGAAAACAACCCGTGTACATCGGAGGGTCAATGGAAAGACGTGTCTGTCGGATAGAGATTTCAGAATTAACGGGCAAAGGATGGTGTTGTAGCAACATGAGAAGCTCCGAGTGCTGCGAAGAACATCAGAAAAAACTAGCTCGATGTGACTGACCAACTTGCCTTCCTGAACAGTTCGTGATAGTTCGTGAGTACACTCTCAATTAGCTCCAAGGCGAAAGTCTTATGTAGATAGTCGAGCTTCAAGAAATTGGGCTTCTCTGAGTTTGCGAGGAGACAGAGATCTTCAAAGACTGAGAACGCGTCTTTGGCACAAGGCCCTAACGCTTTGGTGCTACCGTCCGGAAGTGTCGCTTCAGACAGCTGCGGAGCATCATTGCTCTCTAGACGATCCTCGTTGACCATTTTTTCAAAAATAAACATGACCAATTGACGAAGGGTGGCTGCTGCTGTTGAAGAGACTACAGCTATCCTGGAATCCTGCAGTTTAAAGCAGAGAAGTAACGCCTTCGGCACGTTATAAGATAGATGCCGGGAAGTGTGGATAGAACATTACCTCTCCAAGCAGCTCTCCGTGGATCGAAGGAAAGTTGGTGATCAGGGAAACCAAGGTTTGTAGGATCCGAAGTTGAATGTCTACGCCTTGGCTCATGGCATCGTTCATCGTGCTAACGATGAGTGCGACAGCCTGACTGCGGTACAGCCTTGAGGGCTATTAACCGCTGCAGCGACCCCAAGGAGATAGCAACGACTTTCGCGTTCTTCGTCGCGCATCCCATGAACACTGGACGAAGAAGATCATCTGACTGTGCGCTATCTGTGGGTGAAATCAAAAAGGTGGCACGTTCAATTCGAATTGAATCACATACCAGATGCCAAAGACGCTGTTGCTTGCTCTGGAGAGGACCTAAGGATAGCGAGCGACTTCTCTGCTGCCTTTACGCGATGGACGAGTATGAGACGCCAAAAAGTGGTGCGAGTGCTTTCCATCGTACCTCGCGTATTTCTGGATGTTTTCTCCTCGACTCGCTAGCAAGGGACTTGTGGACACGAAGGTTTGAGTGGATGTTGGCGGGTTAGCACATAGTAAGACTCACCTGCAATTCAGTCACCAAGAAGGCCAGTGAACTCATCTTGTCTTCGTGTTATTCTGAACAAAGTTTCGACGAGGTCCACCAAATTCGAGCAGTTGTGTCTCGATTGTGAGGGAACGCAGTGCTAGCAGAAGATCAAGGATCGAATTGTGTTGTGACGTTTAGAGCGTATGGGCGCTTGTCAACATATGCATGTCACTTCTTCCCACTGCAGCTAGTGCGGCGAGTACTACGTAGTACGGATGATACATCGAGCCATAGAACGGGCGCCGCGATCTACTCCGGTTACCGGTAAGTCAATCATTTAACCGACGAGCCGGTTGATTCTTGAGATCATCAAACTTGTTGAACCGCAATTCATCATCGAAGGGTAAAAACCCATTTCATGATCATTATTGCAACGAGATATCTGCTGTTCGTCGAGTCCCAGTACCAGTAGTACTCACACACATCACCTTTGCACTCAACAAATGGTATTGTTCAAGCCTAACCTTCATGTTTTTCAATGACTTGCAAGTCCGATGGAGCCCAGTAACTCGAGGATCGGATGTCAGTGTCTAGGAGAATCTCAATTGAGGCAGAATATGGCAGAAAACAGTGCTAGCATCCCTAGTCGCAAGGTAAGTATTGTAAATTATAATATACAGAACGTTCGTTTCCTGAATTCAGGTGTATACGGCTGAGCATTTGAGAGTTTTCTCAAACCATTCATGGACGCTGGCCAACGGGATGGATGGTCATGGCAGCCATCCATGTGACAGACGAAGAAATGGATCACACGACACCGACCGCATAACTGCGTAGATGTCTGATCGGCACATATGAAGAAGCTTCTGTACTTTGGAGAAGATCCTTCACTATGCAAAACCTAGAGGCCTCCCAAAGATTACTGTGCAGGATGACGCGGTCGTGCCGCGCCTTGCGGTTATGATGCGGTATGTTGATATCAATCGACACGAATGAAGAACATACCTCGGGCTTGACTCTTGAGTACATGTGCCTTGACGGATTTTTGAGTAAGGCGGTGTCAATCAGTGATCCTAGCCACGCCCCGATCAAAGCGCTCGCAATCATACATCCTATGCTTTCGTATGCACGAGTTTAGTTGAATATCGCTCGGGATCGTAGGGACTTACCGTCCGACTCTCCGCAAGGGCTACCCCGTAGTCCATAAGCAACTCGACTCAGCAACTTGTATCGCAACTCACCCCACAGGCATAACATTAAAGTACTCAGGCTGCATCTCTATCTTGATGATGACGCAGCATAAGTTCAAGTGAATAGCTTCTATCAGCTTCCCTTCCCCCTGTGCGCCCGAAAAACTACAACAAGTTTAATTTTGTCAAGTATCTGCTAGACGCCTTGGTATACCGAAGGTATTGTGCATGACATAGCGAGCGAC